CTCTCTCTCTCTCTCTCTCTCTCTCTCTCTCTCTCTCTCTCCATACACACACACACACACACACACACACACACACACACACACACACACACACACACACACACACACACACACACACACACACGAGCACACACACCCAAGATATTGTTGTCTGTCCACCACTCATATCTCTCCTCCTTATCCAGGTGCACACACTTTCTCTCTCTGTCTCACTCCCTCATACACACACAAACACACATACAGACACATACACACACACACACACACACACACACACACACACGCACACAAGATGCTGTTGTCCGTCCACCACTCACACCTCTGTCCTCCTATTCCAGGTGCACACACTTTCTCTCTCTCTCTCTCTCTCTCTCTCTCTCTCTCTCACTCACTCACACACTCACACACACACACACACACACACACACACACAAGATGCTGTTTTCCGTCCACCACTCATACCTCTGTCCTCCTATTCCAGGTGCTCCCCTGCCAAGAGCTCTGTGGTCCAAGGACGGCAAACACATCGATGAAGGCAACTTGGACACGGAGACCGGCCCCAAGAACACCAAGCTGAGGATCCCCGCTGCCCAGCGGTCAGACACTGGCCAGTACGAGCTCACGCTGAGCAACGAAGCCGGCGAGGATAAAGTGCCCATCAAGATCACCGTCATGGGTGAGTGGGGCCTTTGTCGTATTATCTCCTATAATGTTTTGAGTTCATCTTTCTTTCCTGTCACTGTCAAACATTTATCATCCTTATATCTCCTTTCTCTTTCCTGTCGAAAAACTATCTTCTTTATCTCTACTCCTTCTTTCTCTTTGATCTTTTCTGTCAAAAAACTATCATCCTTACCTCTCCTCCTTCTTTCTGAAATTGACTAGGTTCTTGGCCTTTTCTTGCTTGGTTAGATTGATTGCCTACACCAAGACTTCGGTCAGGCTATAGACTGAAAACTTCATTTGGTGTGATTGTGGTAGTCCTATTTTATTTAAACTTTTGTTTTTGACATCCCTCTTTCAACATGGATACAAATCTATTAATTCTTTTTTTGTGTTCGAAATATCATACCTTAAAAAATATCCCCCTGTCACACCTGTAAAATAGTAAGACACGCCTTTGCACCTTTCTTGATGATTCCAAACGTATTGATCATGTGTTTCTTTTGGAACCTATCAAGTAAGTCAATATCTAAAGGAATCTAGGTGATTAATAGATGGGCAATCTACTTCTTCTATGTCTATGGCCCAGGCAAGACTAAACTACTTTCAGATCTTCTGCAAAGATGCCAAAGTCCATAGAGGCAGAGATATTCTTCCTTTCTTCATTTTCTTTCTCCCATGACCCGCATCATGCTCTCATTGTGACCTTGACCTACATGGTGTCTCTGTAGATGCCCCTGGCCGCCCCGAGGGTCCGCTGGAGATAGTGGACATCTACGCCAACCGCTGCGCCCTGCTGTGGGACAAGCCGAAGGACGACGGAGGCTCGCCCGTCACTCACTACATCGTGGAGAAGATGGACACCGCCAAGGGAGAATGGGAGAAGGCAAGTTCTTTAACTCTTTAAACCCTGAGTTTTTTCTACAGTCACCTCTCTCTCTTGCCCTTTTTAACTCCCAGTGGAGCACAGGCCATCAACAGCATACAGTCACCTAAACCTAAATTATATTTTTTAGTGCAGTCGGATTCATAACCCTTTGGTCTGAGACAGTAGATTTTAATCTAATGTTTTTATGTTTGCAGCTTGCTCTGTTCCAAGCTTTGCCTGTCATGGGCACCCCTGTCTAAGTTCTTTGACCTTATGGGATGTGGAAGACTTTGAGCTCACAAGTGTTATTGTGTGTTGTTGTGAACCTCTATATATCAGGAAGGGGGGGGTTGTTATTGAAGTACTTACTTACTTACTACCCATTACGCTATCTGACGTTTAAGACAGCAACAAAGGCTCTCCAGCTCTGTCTGTTTTGGGCCATCTTGGTCAGCGTTCCCCACGAATGTTATTGAAGTGAAAGTCACCAATTTCAGAGAATTTCTGAATGTTTCAGAGATTTCATATATCTTTCACATTCAGCTTTCAGTCCAGTGTACCGTTATTTTTTGCTCATGTCCACATATTGTAGTTTGGAGTAGCAGTTGATAATTATTTGATGAAGCCGTAGGAGATCTTGATGGCACCCTGATATGACCTCAATGACACCCTAGTAGAATTTCTGTTTAGACAAGCGAGGACAAAGTGACTCTGTTGTTACTTTCCAGGTTTGCGAGACTGATGACCTTGAGGTGGACGTGAGTGACCTTGAGGCCGGTCACAAGTACCAGTTCCGTGTGTCGGCGGTCAACTCTGAGGGTGTTAGCGAGCAGCTGGCCTCTGATGGAGCTATCCTGGCTAAGGATCCATGGGGTAATGTCTCTCTCCCTCTCTATCTATCTATCTCTCTCTCTCTCTGTGTCTCTCTCTCTCTCTCTCTATCTCTCGTTATCTCTCTCTCTCTTTCTCTCTCTGTCTTGTCTCTTAATCTCTCTTTCTGTCTCTCTCTCTCTGTCTCTCTCCGCCCTTCTTTCTTTGTCTCTCTCTCTCTTTCTCTCTCTCTCTCTCCCTCTTTCTCTCTCTGTCTTTCTCTGTCTTTCTCCTTCCCGCTCTCCATCCCTCTTTCTCTGTGTCTATCTCTTTCCTCTCTTTCCCTCCTACCTTCCCCTCAAGGGGTATATTACAATAAAGTTTCGACTGTTTCATTGTACTGTTTCATTCATTTCATCATATTTTTAAATAGAAAATTGATGAGCACCCAAGTCACAGTTCTGATGTGGATACTCTCTTTTTTTTCTTTTGTGAAAACTTAAAAGAATTACTTGGGTTCTTAAGTGATGATGCAAACTGTAACAAGATAGCTGGTTCTTACCTATATGCACGTCAGGTCACAGATATTCTTCTTCAGCTATAGATCCTCTTTTAAGAATTTTTACAGTCCACACACACTAAACACCTGCCGGTGTCTAACCAGACTAACTACCACCGTCTCAAACGAGCAACACAGTTCACTCACACACAATTCCGCTTCTCCACGGAAGTGTGTTCTCGCTCACACTTTTGCTGCACACCACACACATGACAACATAACACGCACGTTTACAACTTGTCCAAAAACAACCTGCAGAAACAATACAACTGTCACAATATTAGAGAGTAATAGGGTTTTTGCACTGGAGGAATGTTTTGTGTCTCACCATTTCTGATACCATCTTTTCTCATCGTTACAAATGACATGACATCCCCTCCACTGTTTTCCATGGGTGGTTGGCGGGCACTCTGGTGTGGTTGGTTCCTTCTCTCCTTTTAAATACCCATCATATTTATCCCTCCTCCTTCTTTTCTGTGTATGTTACTCTCTAGTAATGCTTGTATTCATCAGCACTTATATGATCTACTATAAAAACACGTTGTTCAACAGTGAACTGTATCTTCAGAGTAGCCATGGCCGCTTCCAAGGTGCTGTAGTTTTTGTTACGTGTTTCTCCTTCCGGATGGTTCAGCTTGCTTCCTGTCAATTTCTGTGTGAATTGTACTCTTTGGTGGAGAGTTATAGGATTTCCCGCGGGGAAACATTTTTTGGGGTCGGTAGGTATTTGTACTGCAAGTGCCATAAAACTATTACAAAAAGTAAACTCCTCTTCACCCACCACAACCAACCAATGATGTGCCACCTCTCCTCCCCCTCCTCCTCCTCCCTCTCCCCCCTCCCTCCCCCCCACCCACGTCCCCCTCCAGACCCGACCAGCCCGCCCGGAGAGCCAGAGGTCATCGACTACGACAAGGACTACGCTGAGCTCCAATGGGAGCCGCCCGTCAAGGAGAACGGAGCTCCGGTCAGCGGCTACACCATCGAGTACCGCGAGAAGGGAGAGGATGACTGGAAGAAGGTGAAGCTGGACTTGTCTTCTCACTACTTTCTTTCTCTCTTTTTTTCTTAATTTCTTTCTTTCTCGCTTTCTTTCTTTCCCGAGTTTGACTTCAGAGACATAAGAACACCTACACTTGAAATTTCTTTAAAGATTACTGCTGGCAGCCATAAATTTATTATGTTAAAGTATCTTGATCTTACTGAGTCACACTTTTTAACATTTTGCGGTCATTTGACGCAATAATGCGACGGTGAAAATTACCCGTTCTGGTCACCTGGGACAGAACTGAGAAGTCTGTTGCAGTCACTCTCCTGGCTGGGTGACCAGATGGGATATTTTGTACTGCTGGCTGTGTGATTGCAAAGTGTTAATCCCTGGGTGAAAGTTCAACTAAATTTTATGTCTGTCAAATGGTGTTGATAATTTCTCTGTGCATAATATTTGCTTATAATTTTGATTGTATACCGCATCATATGTGCTTGTTGTAAACGTATACAGTATTAAATGAAGAGATAGGTGACATGCTTCTTCTTTCCTATCAAACATCTATCGTCTTTATCTCTCCTCCTTCTCTTTGTGTTTCTTACTCTCTTGTATCACCTCTAATCTTTGGCACTTATATGATGTTATTGCATTACAAGTGCCGTAAAACTCTTACAAAAGAAAGTGACCTGATTTGCTGTAAATTAACCGGAGACTGGAACCCGTTCTATCTGTCCAGGGAGTGGACACTGGCCCTGAGAACAAGGGCACCGTGCCGGGTCTGAAGGAGAACAAGGAGTACGAGTTCCGCGTCATCGCCAAGAACAAGGCGGGACCTTCCGCTCCCAGCGACTGCTCCGGTCCTGTCGTCTGCAAGTCCAGGAAAGGTGGGTGCCAGGTCTGGCTTGACTGAACACAGGTTTATATGATGGAGCCCAGATGTTGTTTATTACAGAGATGATATCTTTGTCTGGGCTTGACCCAGATGTCGTCTATATATTCCTCGTCCAGCTGTCCAGTGTCTTGGTGTACTGAGCCCAATTTTTTACATTTTAAAAAAATTGCAGTTTGTTCCTCTGAGATACAGCTTGCAGTGCTTGAAAAATATTTTGTCGCAATTCAAATTCCAAATGTTGAAAAAAAGAAAGAAGTAACAGAGATGTTCAAAATTTCTTGCGCTAAAATTGTAACCCCTTGCTGTTTGCTACGTTTCTGCTTTGCAGTCAAGCCCAGAATTGATCAGCGATCTGTTCCGCAAAACATCAGGATCAAGGTCGGTCAGAAGTTCAATATTCCTATCACTTACATCGGAGAGCCAAACCCGCAAGTGAAATGGGAGGTCAAGAATATGGTGAGTGGGACCACTGTGGTGTGTGCTTATGGTACAGTCAATTAATTTGTAATGATCCGACAGGCATTTCCCTCTCACCTTTTGCCACCCTCCCACATCAACCATGTTAACTTTTTCATCTTGTTTTGGGTTGGGTCTTTTATTCACCATTTGCACTTAATAAGTAACCCTTTGTAACGGACAATTTTACGTAACTGACATTTTATCTCTCTTCATTTTTTAAAATCCAGAAAGGCTTTTATATGATACTTGATATTTGGAAAATATGTAATAATTCTTATTATGCTTGATTTTATTGAGTCTGATAATGAAACCATTTTTTTTTTCTAGAACAAGTTTTGTGTCATATACTAACGATTTTTTCTCAGTGGTATGATTTTTGCATTTTTCATTCAATTACATGAAATAAGACACATCTTCTGTGATGATTGATACTACAACACAAGAACATATCAACATTTCTTCAAATAATTTGATATAAGTTTGGTCATTGCTTATCAAGAAGTTACAATCGTAATATAAATGTAACAGTTTACATACTTTGTCCATGTATGTGTCCATTCTTCCTCCCCCCCTCCCCCCAACCCAGTGGAGTTTTAAACTTAACATTATTTCTTGCAGTGGTTAACACATTGCAGTTTATAAACCATTATTAAGTAAGACAGTCCCTTTTATCCATTTACTACCTGAATTGATAACAACAACAACAACAACAACAACAAACCTATTTCCCACAAATGTATAATGTCAGCCCACATCAAATACCCTCTAAAAATGTTTGGAGTTTTTCCCCTCACAGAATCCTGTTTAAAAGGCATGACTGAAAACCTTCACTTTTAAACCATAATAATGATATTGTTCCCTCCACCATTATGATCAATAAGCCCTAACAATTAATTTTAAAATTCTACATGAGCAGGACTTTCTTGAACTGAAAAAGAAACATTTTTTTTTTTGGGTGGATTTTTTCCCCCCCTGTTTTCTCTTCCTTTCCTGTTCATGATCAGTTTTTCCCCGTGGGTTATAATGCTGTATTGTTGTATTGATTTGTATATGATTCATTGTCTCCTAGGTCAAGGGGGTAAGTTTTTGTGCTGTAGCTTTGCCAGCGTTGAGTTCTAGCTTAGGTTGAGTGAGTTCACCACCACTCTGGTTTCCCTTCATCCCCCCCCCCACCATGCCTTTGCATCATTCACCAAACCTCAAACCTTCCCATCATTGCCTTTTTTTTGGTATCATTCTTTGTTCGAGATTGTTTCATCTACTTTGAAACAAACACATAAAAATTTTTCATTGCTGGAGGTTTGTGCTGCGTTCATTTTGCCAGTTGGACTTGTTACTGTCGACTGCTGCGTTCTCACACTTCTGATTGTGTTTGTCTTTCAGCCAGCAGACCAGATGTTTGTGTGTTTGTTTCTTTGGTTGCAAATTGATTCCGTGTTTTTCTCATTCTTGTTTCATATTCATTTACCTCATTTTTGTGTGGTGAATATCTCTCTCATTTTGTTTCCTGAAACTGCATTTTAAGGTTGTGGATTGAAGCGCTATCAATACGTATAAAGGTACATATAAGATACATGAATAGATAATAATATATGTTAAGAGGTATCAATTCATATGAATGTACCAATAATATAAACATGAACAGGCGTTTGTTCAATATGGTCGCTTTTAAGGACAAGCAGGCTAATCCAGATTTCGAGGGTTTCCAGAAATCTTGACCTACACCAAAAGTGGGCATTGCCCTACCTATAGAAGAAGTTTGGTTTCATTGGTGTGTATATTTGTTTGGTTTTAGAGAAAACTCTCCTTGTGTTTTAGAGATACTGAACAAGGGGCAAAAACTTTACCTTCGAATTTCTCAAAACAGCATTTTTCGGGATAGCCCCATTGTGCTTAAAAGCGACCATATGTACATTAGGGACTTCTCTACTCTGTGTCTCATATGACAATTTCATAACGTATCACCCCTGGTTTTTCACCATATCAGGACCCAGACACAGAAGAAGTGAGCTGTGTTATGTTCTCTTCAATGTTTTAATCCCATAATATATGTAGACACACCGTGTATTCGGACTGGCTGGCTGGCTACCTCTGTGTTTCTTTTTTCCGTTTGTGTTTCAGTGTGTTATTTCTTTTCTTCTCATTTATTTTGTCCCTCTGTGTTTGTTCCTTTGTTTGTTTTTTATTTTTCCGTACACAGTGAAATTGCCGAAAGTGGCCATCCATAGCGGAGAAATTAATTTGGTTGTCTCAGAAAGGTAGACTTTTTGGAAAGAGTTATTAAAATATTTTAAAATCCAAGGGGGGAAATGAGAGGTGGTCATTTTTACAGGTGATTATCTTAACCCTATCCGTACACCCTGGGGTCATTTTGTACACCCAGGGTTGTATTCTTCACATTTTAGAATACTACTAGTGCGAAGATCTCTTTGAAACTTTCAGTATTTCTCAAAAAATCATTTTGACTAACTGCTATGCAAAGCGTACGGATCAGATTAACGAGTAAATTTCCTCTTTGGAAAGTGGTGGCACAGAGTTCCCCAGATCGTATGGATACGATAGTAAAACACGACGTACGGATAGAGTTAAGTGGTGGCACAGAGTTCCCCATGTCGTATGGATACGATAGTAAAACACGACGTACGGATAGAGTTAAGTGGTGGCACAGAGTTCCCCATGTCGTATGGATACGATAGTAAAACACGACATACGGATAGGGATAAACAAGTAGCCACTTGAGCAGTTTGACTGTATTCACATAATTGTCTATTCATTCTTTTCTAAAATTTGTAAGCTTCTTTGCTTATTTCTCCCTCTTTCTGTTATTTTGATTAGTTAATCATCTCACTACCAATTATTGCTTCTAATATTTCCTTTGGACCAAAGAAAAAGGTTTTCAGTTCAATATTAGATTTCGTTTTTATAAGAAGTTTATTTGTGGGGTTTTTTGGTTGTTTTTTATTGGGATTTTTTTTGGCCAGTCAGTCAGACGTGTTGAATGTCGATGTATCAGTTTGTAGCTGTAGTCTGTTTGTGAATGTATGCCCCTCTGTTGGCATGGTCTCGAAGGTAGCACACCACGTGTGTTTGTACGTACATACCATTATATCTGTGTGTTTCATGTGCGTACTGCGTGTGCTACCTGATGTGCTTATGTATACGAGCACTGTGTCATATCTTTTGGTGTTGTCAAACATGCAACTAGTACTAGCAGCATTCACGTATTATCTCTTAAATCTTCAACATTAATATTGTGTTTGGACGGGGAGTTGTTAAATCCTTTTGTCTGCCGGTGAGTAGTGCTTCTGATTCCCTTCAAAGTTGTATGGAGGAAGAATAATCGTGGTTTGAACAAAAGAAATAAAACATAAAAGGTTAAAACATGTAAATGGAAGATTCTATCTATTCCTAATTGCTGTTTCTATGCAGAACATCTATTTCTGGGCTGGTTGCAGATCTTGATAATATGGCTTATTGTGAAAGAAATTACTCAGAAGTGCTGATTTTCCAGATAAATTCCGAAATCCAAGTTTCTGGAATTATCCGGATATTGCACTTTATATGAAACTCGTCTTGATAGAAAATGTAGGCTATAAGACCATAATATTATGATCCGTAAATTTTGAGTGCCCGAGCCTGCGTTTCCAAGGGTTCCGAAACATTCCAGATACACAATGGTTCCCCACAGCAAGGCTATTCTCTCTATCATCCCATTACAATTTTTTTTTAAAGGGGAGGGAGGGGAGCGTTAAAGTACAGGTTCACAACTCACATACAGCCGTCCATCACATATTATTCCTTTTTTGTTTTTTTAAAAGGCTTTTGTCTGGGTTCACATAACATGAGGTTATTCTGAGTTCCTGGCTCATTTATTTTTACATTCATTAAGTTCTTATTTCTATTTCTCAGTTCCATAACATTGTGTTGGGCTTATATACTAGCTAAAAACACGATTCACATTCCAGCTTAAGATATATTCTTCTTTGTTCTGTTTTACGTTTCATTTATGTCACAATTTCACTCACATTTTCACTTTTTCACTTTCATTTTTTGGAGCACTTTTTATTTATGTGTTCAAATACTCATACGGATTGACTGACATAAATACGAGGTAGATAGTTTTTTTTACGTGTGTTGAAATATATAAAGAGTGACAGCTTTTCTTACTGTTTTTATATGTTGTAACTACTTCACTAATTGATGCGTGATTTTCTTCAAATGAGAATTGAAATGAGTCCGTAAAATGAAAGGAAGAAAAGAACCATAAACTCTAGTTGAAGTTATCATTAAATACGAAGTTCATCATCGGACATAAATTATGTTTCCAATTTACATCATAAGTTGCAGCTATTACAGAGGTGTGTATGCATAGTCATAAAACAGTTTCAAAAGACGTTCCTATTTCTGAAGCACAATTTTAAAACAAGAGAAAGTGAGGTCGAGTTTAACATTGTTTTTTGTGCAGTTCAAACTTTCACAGGGAACAATAATAAGCCCTGAAGCTTTTACTGATTCTTTTTAAAGTTGTATACCATACATAATTATGGAATTCTATGTTTGACTGATTCTTTTGAAAGTTGTATACATCATTATAGGATTCTATGTTTGACTGACTCTTTTGAAAGTTCTATCCATAATTATGAGATTCTATGTTTGCCAAGTTCTAAAGTTATTGACATTGTTGTTTCTATTGTTGACCCGTCCCTGTGTTTTCCTACTATGGTCAATTGTCCACGCTTCGACTAAGCAACCACGGAAGCTTGTGTGGGCTTCTTGTAAAGTTATTCAACCTGGGCTGCCTATATTTATAACCCTTGTGTGTGTCTTCATCATTGTTGTCATCCAGCCAACACCTGGTGTGTACATTATTGTTACTTAAAAGATTAGAAACTTTTGTATGTATCAGAGCGCTCGTATGACTTTATGCACTTGCGAGTGCCGTAAAACATTTACAACAAAAAAAAAAAGAACATATCATTCCATGTCATGTCTCCAGAGTCTTCTACTAAGCATAAGGGAAATCACAAAACTCTCAACAATTGCTTAAGTCTGAGTTACCCTTTTTATAGTCAACTCTCTCTACAATTCACAAGTATTTGCTTGTGATTATATGTAGTTCAGCACCAGCTCACATTCTATTTTTCTTAAAGTCACTAATTAGGGCCCTCGTACCCCTGGCAAATTAACAATAGAGTGTGTAGATTGCAGTAGAAACGATGCTAAGGCTGCTTTTTAGGACCAATTTAGATGTTATAGGATATTTGTGGAAAAAGAAAGTATTCTGTGCTTACTGGTATAAATGTGAGCTAATTTGATAGAGTTGTTGTCATCCGAAGAAAATTACGCTTCTGATCAGAGACGGAATTTCTTCTTTGCTGTTTTGAAATATCCTGATCCAGCACGTGTTAGCAGAGGGATGCAGTGCTCTCAGTCTCATTAGGGATTAAAAAATGTGAGGCTTGCTGACAAAATAAGTTACTTCTCACAATCCATGAATGGAGGTATTGGACAAAAACCGACACAAGGGTCATATTTATAGATTCTAAACCAACGCCATTCTCTTCAAGTTTAAAATGTCTTGTATCAATTCTTCACACTAATAAATCATAAAAATTCAACCTATAAATTTGACGTATCTATTTCCGTCGGGCTAAAATCTGAGAAGTAACTCATTTTGTCAGCACACCTAAAAATGGATTGGAAAAGCAGTTATGTTTCTGGATAAACAATTACATCCCTTTGTTTTCACATGTTTGGTCATGGGATTCATTGCCATGATGTGACGTTGTAGAGAAATGTCAGTTGTAGGTAGGCCCTAGACTCCGAACCCAAACCCCACCCACCACACCTTCCCCACAGGACCCCATTTTGTCTCTCTCTAGCTGTGTAGACCCCAGTGTGTCAATGTAGCTATAGTAGACTGGTTAGTTCACCAGTGTGTCAATGTAGTTAGTAGACTGGTTAGTTCACCAGTCAGTCAGTCAGAGTAGTTTTAGGACCCCCACACCCAACCCCCATCCCCACCCCACCCCCCAAATTGTCTATGTTTGATGTACCATCATTTCATGAACTTTTCCCATAAGGTTTGAAATACTGGTAAGAGAAAAAAAAGTTGTAAAGAAAAGTAACCACCACTCTTCTCTTTGAGAAACCTAGATATATTTCTTTTCATTTTTCTCTTTTTTTTTTTTTTTTCTTTTTTTACCGCCTAATTCTATATTTGGGACCTTATGACCAGGAGTAGACTACAGTGTGGAAACTTAATTTTTTTCCCCCTTTTTCAATCAATGTTTGCGAATAAGCCAAATTTAGTCATCTTAGAAGTTTTCTTTTTTTTCCTCTTAACACTTAGGTACATCATTTCAATAATTCAGATCATCCAACCATTAAAAGAGGTATTGAGTAGGAAGCTAAAGTGGTACAAGATTTTTATAAAAAGTATAAAGTACCTCCCTTTGACTACTTTATTTTTCTCATTTGAAAATATTTACAGTTAAGTAGAAATGATCTTGTGAAATTGTTTTTTCCTTATGTTTACGAGCAAAGTGTAGTAGGCTAGTAGTAGAAATGAGTTTCTCTTCCCTCATTAGATTTTACTGTGAACAGAAACATTTTGTACTTGAACTAGCTGAACTATAATGTCTTCAGCTGATACGCTGCATTAGAACAGAGTTGACACGTTCTTTGCATTGGTTGACCTTTCCCCCCGACCAGAAACAAGAGATCTTGCCCCTTGAGCCGAGAGATGACCTGACCATCTCCAACAAGCCCAAGGAGTCGACGGTGAACTGCACCAGCGGTGTGCGGAAGGACACGGGAGAGTACATCGTCACCGTATCCAACAAGCACGGGTCGGACACTGCCACCATCAATGTAGTCGTGCTGGGTAAGTTGGGAACGCACGGACGCACTGACCTAGATCAGAGCTCGTCAAACTTTTTTTTATAGCCCGCGCGCCCACTTCTGCTTCCCACAGAAGAGGCTAAGAATTTCTTACCACCCTTCTATAGGGACGTGTTTTCAAACAGGGGGTGAAATAAGAACAGTCACTACCCGAGTGATTCCCCACTACCCACCATACCAATTCTCACACTAGTGGGCAATACTGATCAGGTTGGAAAGCATAGGTCTAGATATTGTATCTGGTATGGGTACATTGTGTTTGGTGTCACTTATCTGAACCGTACCATTGTTGTGAGCATTTCTTTCTCTTAAGATAAAAATAACGTGCAAGTAAATAAACACCCCTTCATAGTGGGTGGCTGGTGGGTGCTATGATATGATTTATTCCTTCTTGCCTCTCAAGCTTCTACCATCATCCTTATCTTTCCTCTTGTTTATTACTCTCTAGAAACCCCTTTATTCTTCGGCATTTATATGACCTGATTGTGTTAAAAGTGCTGTAAAGCTCTCGCTAAAACTAAAACTGACACCTTCTGTATTCTCCCACAGGACCACCCAACAGACCTGGAGGTCCTCTCGAGGTCAAGGACGTGACCAAAGATGGCGCCACCATCACCTGGAAGCCTCCAACTGACGACGGTGGAAGCGACCTCAAGTAAGGCTCTTACGGTTTTGGCTTTTCGTGACTTTGCATCCTAAAGAGACAGTCAAAATTGTCCAAGATGGCCGCTATTGTCAAGGAGAAAAGTGGTTTCTTAGATAGGTTGAGGTCTCTAACATTTCATTATGATGAGATAGTACTTTTTAAAATGAAGGGGAGAACTAGGAAGCGGTTGTTTGTACAAATGATTGTCTAGGACATGCGGTCATCAGGTTAGGTTTTCCTTTACAGTCCTGTACAGCCAAGAAAAATTTCCCTCTGGGATAATACAGTATTTTCTTATCTTATCTTATCTTTAGACCTAAGTGATGCCCTTAATGAAAGGCTTTCACCACAGGATTGTTTTTGTTGTGGATGTTTTTTTTCGCAGCTTCATAAGGCGCAAAGAAAATATCAAACATTTTTTAGTTGCTTATATGAAAGATAATATGTCTTCTTTTTGTAGGTCAGTGTTGACAGTATTATTATTATTATTATTACTATAATTGTTATTATTATCATTATTGTTATCATTATCATGATGATGATGATGATGATGATGATGATGAGGATGATCATTATGATGATGATGCTCTAATAATGTGCTTAAAAGTAATCGCTGTCGCATTCGCCACTGATCACGAGGCAATCCTGTCATCGTCAGAACATGATGTAAAAAGCCTGAAAAACCATTCCCTGTCGAACACAGAATTACAGAGTCGCCTCTTCTTAAAGTAACACCAGCAAATTCATAATACATAATATTATACACACAAAAAGCAACACACATAGTGGTGGAGGACCAAAAGCGAAATTGCGTCCAACTCAAATATCGCAGGCATTAAAACTCAACGTCTCTAAAGAGATAGTGCATTTATATATAGGCCACAATTAATGAAAAGAAAAGACAGAACAGTAAGTATTAAGTGCACAAAATGTTATATCAAATTACTTCCTTATTCTATCCCCATGTGGTAACACGTGACCGCGAATGTAAACATCAAGTCTAACTAAGAGTGTATATTGAAGGCAAGGAGATGTTTAAAAAGTAAAACATAAATAATTAAGTTACTTAAACACACGCACACACACACACTCACACACACACACACACACACACACACACACACACACACACACAGACACACACACACATACACACACATACATGCACACAAACTCATAGCTGTATACTGTATAACAGTCTTCCAATTAAGCTCGCTCTCATGCGTGGGCGAAACTTAAGTGGCTTGAGATGGAGACTGGAAGTCTTACCTTTAGCTCTAAGTTTAGCCCAAAAATGCCTGGAACTAATTTCACTCTTATAAATTTCAAAGATAATATATTTAGAAACTGATAATTTTTCCGATTGCAATAGCTGCATTCGTTTTTACGCAATCCCGGTGATCTAGGTCGATTCGTTGTGGTGAGATCGGACAGCTTTGTCAAACACCCTTACTTATTAGAAATGTCCTCGAGACATAACCTCCATTTTTTACACACGAGAGTCTTTCTGTATTTAATATTTCAATCCACTTTCGAAAGTTTGGGCCAAAGCCAAATACATCTAGGCTTTTGAGGATACATTGAGTGTTTATAGAATCAAATGCCTGTTTGAAATCTACGGTAAGAATGATTTCTGGTGAATCTGTGGTCTTGTGTCTGTATAGAATATCATCAACCTCTTTGTGAATTATGGATATATGTCTTCCTTTCAATAATCCAGTTTGTGATTCTCCAATGAGCTTATCTATAACAGAGTTAAAGACGTGTGGATAAAAGTTTAGCTTAGATTTTGTGATCTGTATATGTTAGGGAAATAGGTCACCAGTTATTGAGGCTATGCGGGGAGAGACCTTTACACTTATGCAGTAAAGAAATTATTCCTTCCCTTCCAGATGGAGGCAGCTTGTTGATCAGGAAGCTGTAGTCAAAACTTTCCCTAAGAGAGTCCCTGATTTAAGGGCTGTTGCTGCCTCATCCTCCGGAACTGGGGTATCACAAAAAATATGTTCATCTTCTGATAATCTAGGAAGATATATGTTTTTCTTAAATACATCCATACATTCTGAAACAAACTCAAAAAATTGAAATACGACTACTAACTTTATAGTAAACGTTTTCGTAGTGCTTGCCAGTTTCTTCTACAATATCCGTTTCCTTGTGGATGCGCTCTCCAAAGGCGATTTTGATGTTTTTTTAAATTGTATTAACGTTTGACCTACATTTCTCCAGAGATAAAAAATATTTTGAACATTTTTCGCCTCCCTCTAC